TATTTCTTTCTGAGTGAAATTTCAGAACAATTAGTTGAGTATATTTTGAGATACACCATTTTGACAAGTTTTTTTCTCCATATTTCAAAAACTACGCGACTGAATTGGATATTTTTACGTAAAAATATTTCTGATGATAATATCTACCAAATCAAATTGTAATATCCGGAGCACGTACGCCATTCGCCATGGCGCGGTCATGAATATCGGTGTCCATGACCGGTATGGTCATGGGCATGACCAAGAAATTTCCATGGCTTTTGAAGGTGATTGGAGGGTCCATGGCCACCTTCCATGGCCCCAAATCTCAGGTGTCCCATGGCCTTGTTCCTAGGCCAACATTTATTGCGGGGGGTGGGACGATCATAATGGTCACACAGGAGAGCTAAACGTAGTTATCGCATGGGTCTAATTGAAGTGATAAATTGAGTAACCGTAGGGATCAAATGAGAGAGAGCAACGGAGTTGTCGCAGGAGTCTAAAGAGAACGATTAATCGAGTAATTGGCAATTGTTAGCTTGCTCAATTAATTGCTCCCATTATACCCTAGCGATATCTGCGATGGTCTCTCCTGTTTCACCCTGTTCGGTTTTTCACCGAATATTTATTCCTCACACACACGCACACTCACGCACACTGGCTGCTCTCGCATGCTTGCATGGCTTCGCACAACTGACATGCGCAACCGCCTCAAATTAACAGTGGCCTCTCACCTCGGATACCTGAGGCACCACTTGATGGATAGGTGTCCAGTGAACGCCCCCATTTAAATTGGGACGCGCTTAGACCCTCTATGATCGACACCTGCCACCTTGCGGTCCTTTAATCGGCCTCATTTGCATATCGGCCTTAGTACTGTGTACACTGTATTCCGCGAATATCTTAATATTTCAATTGTATTCGAGTTCTGCATATTATTGCCCCGCGTTACTCAATTCTGTGAACTGCGATAATAAATTTGTGACCCACGCTAATATTCTTGACTTTCTCAATTAACTAAAGCTAACTTTTGTATGTTTTTGACTTTTAATTAAACTGACTGAGTATGACCAACGTGTACGTATTTGATTATAGACCTTCTCACACTCCCGTAAAAATCCATTTGCATCTCGCTCATCATTCGCTCATTTCACAGATCTTAAACCTGACATTGAACATTTTAGTCCTTCGGGCCGGAGCTGTGGAATATTTTTCAGTTTTTCGCGTTTTTTAAGTGATTTTTGGGAGTGTTTGTGAACAGCGTGCATTCGGACAGTGGTGCTCAACGGCGGCTTCTCGCCATCGAGTTGACGGGAAGCGAAGTTCGACTGCAAGCGGTGCTCAACCAGTTCCTCTCACAATGCTTCAGAGATCTGTAGTACCGACCAGGCGGGGAATTGAAATTAGACAGCATTCTCTAAAGGAAAGTTTATTGTTTTTCTTCCCTTTATTGAAATTTTATTGGATTTCTCGTGCCTGCAACCATTCGGACCTGCGTCGGAGATTGATTTTTCGTAATTTCGAAATTATTCGGGATTATTTTTGGAATATTATTGTTTTTTAATCCTATCGCTTTTTGAAACCATCGAACCTGCGCCTTTCAGTCTTCAGTTGTTTTGAGCGGCTCTTTCCCGGACAATCGAGATCAATTATTAGATTTTTTGCGCGACTGTTTTTTTTGGAGTTTTGAGTTTTTTTTTGGATTGCGCTTTGCTTTTTTTTAGTGTCACTGTACTTCTCTCGTTGAAGATGACTTCTCTCGAAGCAGTTATTAACCTACAGATGTCACGTGTGATTCTCATTGAAGAAATCCTCTCGGATACGAAGAAGACGGATGCACCGCAGCTCGGGGTTTCTGCGCTTGAGTCAATACTCGAAATACTCTTTTCATATTGGAAGAAATTCGAAGTTGCTCACGAGAAGCTCATAGCAAGCGGTGGTAAAGTGGAAGGTCTTTTGGAAATTCCGTATTTCAAGTCGCAAGTTTTTGATAAAATACTTGCAACTTTTCGCTCTGCTGAAGTAGCACTCGCTCAGTTAATGGAGTTAAAAGGAGCTCCTAAACTAAACCAATCTAGGAGGGGCTTTCAGCCAGGCGCTAACTCGTCTCACGTACCGGAAATTGAACTGCCGAAGTTCTCTGGAATTTACAGAGAATGGAGGCTATGGCGTGACTTGTTCCACTCACTGGTCGGGAACAACTCTGATATTCCGGGAGTAGAGCGCATGCATTACCTACGTCTCTGTCTATCCGGTGAACGTCTTAGAGTGATTTCAAATTTGCCCGTCTCAGAGGAATCCTTTTCGATAGCTTGGGGGATCCTTACCGATTGCTACGAGAACAAGCGTTTGTTAGTTGCAGCTCATCTTGATCAACTCTTGAGTCCTTCCCCGATATCCTTTCACAACGACACGGAACTCAACCGATTGACCTCCGAAGCTCTCAGCGCGCTCAAGGCTCTGGATCAACCTACTGATCCGTGGGATCCCATGGTTGTCCATGTTATTGTTTGTGGGCTATCCAACAAGCTTCCTCAGGCATGGGAGAATAAGATCGGTGCCTCTACTAAGTATCCAACTCTCGAGCAACTCTCGAGCTTACTGAGTTTCTTCAAGGCCGTTCCAGGGCGATGGAAACTATGGATGTTGGGTCTGGGTCTCTCAACTCGAGCTCGACGAAATCCACTCAGCCCAGCGTGCAATCTCGCCCTGCGTCGAACCCCAGCAGAACGGTCAACATGACTTCCAATCGGCTAGCTCACCTGCCTTCTCAGCAGTCTCAAGGTCCAGCTCGAAAGTTACAGTCCACTCCAGCACAATCGTGGGCTGAGGCTGCCAGTATCCTGGCTCGTATTGCAAGGGGGAGCACTATATTGCCTCCTGCGATCAGCTCAGGAGTCTCTCGCCAACTGGTCGAAAGGAAGTCGTGGACCGTCTCTATCTGTGCGTTAACTGCCTGGGAAAGCACAGCATCAGGGTTTGTCAGATGATTCGCACGTGTCTCCGATGCCAAGAGAGGCATCACACCCTGCTGCACCTGGATCGTTTTCGTCGCTCAGCTAAACGTGGTTCTGCATCTCAGCAAGCTGCTTCCAGAGACTCAGAGGGTCAACAAACTGGGACTAGCTCTGCTTCACTGACCAGCGTACCTGTTGTGACCTATACTCACACAAGTGAGTCTACGCCATCTGTGTCTTCAATAGCGCCACAGCAATGAAGCCAATCTTCCCAAACGGCGATCTCTTGCTCGGCTCGCAGTTGTTCTGCGTAAACCTCTCGGCCTGGAGTCCTTCTCGCGACCAGTTCAGCTCAGCTTCGACTTTTATTGGAGCCAGGCTCCGAGCTCTCGCTCATCTCAGATAAGCTAGTTCGGAAGTTGAAATTGAAGAAGCAGCGTAGTTCCATCCACATCTCAAGAGTAGGTGAATCATCGTTTGGGACAACGTCTGGCAAAGTACATCTCACGCTTCAATCGATTCACTCGGACGAAAGCATTAATGTTTCGCATCACGTTCTTGATCAATTCACGTCTTCGCTGTCGACCTTCTCAGCAGAGGATCTCGAGTGGGACCATCTCGGGGATTTGCAACTCGCGGATTTTCATTTTCGAGTTTCTGCGCCAGTTAATCTTCTCATCGGAGCTGACGTTTTTGGACAACTCATTAAGCCCAGCGTAACTAAAGGAGGAACGCAGGCTCCAGTTGCTCAGTTAACCAGCTTTGGCTGGATCGTTTTTGGATCAACGGGATCGACTCAAGAGACCACTTGCTCTACTCATCACGTCAGCGTTTCGAATGAAGAGCTCCATGATCTTCTCAGCAAGTTCTGGGTTCAGGAGGAAATCCCTGGGAACAGGGGCTCGAGCCTCTCAGAAGTGGAATTGAAATGTGAACAGCACTTTCGTCGGACGCACTCGAGAGACAGCTGAGTTCGTTTGCCCTTTCCGCTCCAGTTTCGTCATTAGGTAGTTTATATCGTCTAGCTCTAGCTTGTTTGCATCGGATGCTCGGAAGGATCTCGAAAGATCAGCGCTTTCTCGAGCTCTACTCTGACTTTCTCAGGGAATATGCAGATCTCGACCACATGAGGCTGGTAACTCGTTCTCACTTTGCTTCTTCATCTTCGGTTCAGGCGGAGACTGCCTGTTGTTCTGACGAGATGACCTTGGCACGTGAAGCGCAAGCTTCAGGAGAGTTGAAGGTCTCCGAGGAGCCTCAGGTAGGCCCGTCTGGCATTCAGGGGAGTACCTACCTGCCTCATCATGGTGTTGTCAGAGAGAGAGCAGCGAAACGACGAAACTGAGAATAGTGTTTAGTGGATCAGCGAAGACTAGATCAGGAAAATCGCTCAATCATATTCTCCACACAGGGGCTAAGCTTCAGCGGAACATCACTGATGTACTTCTCTGGAGTAGACAGCGTAAAGTCATTTTCATGACGGATATCACCAAGATGTTCCGTCAGATCAGAGTACATGAAGATGACTGGCGCCTGCAGCAGATATTATGGACCAACTCACGTGAAGAAATCGGGACATATCAATTGATCACCGTTACTTATGGCACTAGATCAGCTCCATTTCTCGTGAATCATATTCTTCTTCAACTTGCTGAGGACGAAGGACACAGATTGCCACTGGCCGTCTCGCCCATCGTAAATGGAAGATATGTCGACGATATTTGTGGAGGCGCAGACTCTCATGACCAACTCATAGAAACCGCTCGTCAGGTTCGTGATCTCTGTGCTGCTGGAGGAATGCCTTTGGCAAAATAGCATAGTAATAGTCCAGCGCTATTTGAGTGGCTCGATTCCGATAGTACCTCTAATGACCAGCGAGTTTATGAGGATTCGGAGACCCGGATTCTTGGTTTATCGTGGCAGCATAGCTCAGATAGTTTCGTCTTCTGAAGTCGGACCAGCGATGATTCGAAAGTCTCTAAGAGGAACATCCTATAAGAGATCGCTCAGATCTATGACCCGCTCGGATTTCTATCTCATGTAGTGATCAGAGGGAAACTGCTCATGCAGGAGACCTGGATTGGTAAGCTCGGATAGGATGAGGAAGTCCCAAAACAAGTAGCTCAGCGTTGGAAAAGTTTCCGTAGTGATCTCGCTCTGCTTTCAAAGCTATCCGTGCCAAGATGGCTAGGCTTGCTCGAGAATTTATCGATCGAAATCCATGGATTCTTAGATGCTTCTACTCTCGCGACTTCAGCTGTAGTCTATCTCAAAGTCTCCAATGGAGTAGGAGAGCCTCGGATTTCTTTGGTCTGCGCGAAAACGAAAGTAGCCCCTCTCAAGCGGCTGACAATATCAAGACTAGAGCTCACAGCTGCTGTTCTTCTTGCCAAACTCGTGAAGTACGTCAAAGATCAGCTTAATCTCTCCGTGTGAGCTGCGTTCCTCCATGCAGAGTTCTGAGATAAGTCCAAGTTCCGACGTACTTATGGACCGACTCGTCAGTTTCGCTCACATGGATCAGCGTACACCCTTCCAGATGGAAGGAATTTGTTAGAAACCATGTCCAGCTCATCCAGGAGATTACGAACGTACAATGGAAACTCGTTCCTGGCAAGGGGAACCCCGCTGAGTGTGCATCTCGTGGTCTAACCACAGCTCAGCTCTCGTCGCATAAGCTCTGGTGGCAATGTCCATCGTGGCTCAAGAAAAGCTCATCGTCGTGGCCATCTCTACACGTCTCCCCAGTGGTATTAGACGACCTGGAGGAGAAGCCAGGTATCATGTTCAATGTGAAAGTCCAGAGCCCAGAAATCTGGGATCTAGTCCATCGTTACTCCTCGCTCATTAAGCTGCTCAGAGTCACAGCCATTTGTCAGCGTTTTATTGCACCGCTAAACCCTGGTGGCATCGAACAAGCTCGACTCTTCTGGATCAAGGCCAGTCAGTCAGCGTATTTTTCGACTGAGCTGACAACCTTGTCCAGAGCACAAAAACTTGGCGCATCGCATCCTCTCACTCGATTGACAGTGTTTCTTGATCACCAGGGAGTCCTTCGTGTTGGGGGAAGGCTAGATTTTGCTCAGCTCGACAGCGAAAACAAGCATCCAGTCATTGTACCGAAGGAGTCTCGGTTTGCCCAGCTTATCATTAAGGATGCTCATCTCAGAACTCTGCATGGAGGAACGCAGCTCACACTTGGCCAGCTCAGGCAATCTTACTGGATCTTCGGAGGAAGAGCTCCAGTTAGGTCGTTCATCTTGAGTTGTGTTGCCTGCGCTAGACAGCGAGGAATCGGAGCTCAACAGCTTATAGGTCAGCTCCCCATTGCCCGTCTCACCCCTGGCCACGCGTTTCTCAACACTGGAGTTGATTACGCCGGACCAGTATGGCTTCGCTCATGGAAAAGACCTGGTCATAAATCATACAAAGAATGGCTCGCAATCTTTGTTTATATGGCTACGTCCGCGGTGCATCTCGAAGTCGTCTCCGACTATACGTCTGACGGCTTTATGTCCGCGCATCGTCGTTTTGTTGCTCGGCGCGGGATCTGCAAGAACCTCTTCTCGGACTGCGGAACAACTTTCTTAGAAGCCGACAAGGAGTTGAAAAAACTCTTCCCGATGGCGTTCAAGGAATCTGGTCGTATGGCTCATCTCTTGCTCAGCGACGGAACTCGGTGGTCATTCAATCCTTCAGGTGCTCCGCACTTTGGAGGGGAGTGGGAAGCCGCGGTGAAGTCGGTGAAGTTCCACCTCAAGCGAACGATCGGCGACACTCTTTTGACCTTCGAGGAACTCACCACTTTGCTCGCACAGATCGAAGCAGTGCTCAATTCACGACCACTTGAGCCTCTTTCAGAAAATCCCGACGACATTAGTGCGCTCACTCCAGGAAATTTCTTGATTGGTCAGGCGTTGACAGCGCTATCTGAGCCTTCTCTGGACGACTTGAACATCGCTCGTTTGTTTCGCTGGCAACTCGTTCAGCAGAATGTCCAGCGCTTTTGGAAATGGTGGTCCACTAGCTATCGTCAGCATCTACAGTCGAAGTTGCACCACCACAGAAGATCGTCTCGTCCTACGTTCGCTCATCTCTACAACTGGAGTCATCTTCAACTTCATTCTCGACCAGACCTAGGCGAAGATTTACGACCTTGGTCTTCGAACCTGGCCGCTGAGTGGAGGCGGGTCTGCTGAGGTCTGTGGAATGTACGCCTCCAACGATTTTGGATGTACTTGCACCTTGACTATCGCAGATGAACTGCAGTGGTGAAGTCGCTCTTCAAGAAACTATTGTTTTCACGATTAATCTCTTTTTTGTTGTAGACCTGCGCAAAGAGGTGTCAGCGACTGCTGACGGCGGGGAAGAATGTTCGGTTTTTCACCGAATATTTATTCCTTACACACACGCAAACTCACGCACACTCTCGCATGCTTGCATGGCTTCGCACAACTGACCTGCGCAACCGCCTCAAATGACCAGTGGCCTCTCACCTCTGACACGTGAGGCGCCACTTGATGGACAGGTGTCCGGCGAACACCCCCATTTAAATTGGGGCACGTTAGGACCCTCGATGATCGACACTTGTCACCTTGCGGTCCTTTAATCGGCCTCATTTACATATCGGCCTTCGTACTGTGTACATTGTGTTCCGCGAATATCTTATTATTTCAATTGTATTCGAGTTCTGCTCGAGTTATTGCTCCGCGCTACTCAATTCTGTGAACTGCGATAATAAATTTGTGACCCGCGCTAATATTCTTGACCTTCTCAATTAACTAACGCTGGCACGTGTATTTATTTTACTTTTAATTAAACTGACTGAGTGTGACTAACGTGAACGTGTTTGATTATAGACCTTCTCATGCTCCCGGAAAAATCCATTTGCATCTCTCTCATCGCTCGCTTATTTCACCGATCTTAGACCTGGCATCGAACACACCCTTGTGATTACTCAATTCATCACTGCTATTGGATCTTTGCAATAACTACGTTTACCTCTCCCGTCTGACCCTTGTCATCATCCGACCCCCCTCAATAAATGTTGGCACAGCAATGAGGCCATGGTACCCCCCAGATTTGTGGTCATGGAAGGTGGAAGCTAACTCCTAATGGAATTAGTAGAAATGAAAAAAAAATGGCTACAACACAAGTATATAACTTAATCTTTCCCTGTTATCTCATCGAGTGCAGTGTCTTATTTAAAATGAATATTTATGCGCCCGTTGGAGATTTTGAAGAGTAGACCTTACTGTTTTCAATAAGCTATATGTCATGTCTGGGAGAGCTGTATAACTTCACAAAACAGTAGTATATACCATGGCGACCGATACGTAGCACATTAGGTATTGTGTTCTTTACGAGTTCCAACTAAGAAACAAGCAGTTGACCGCTTCTGTATTGCAGAAGGCCTGTGACTGTTACTTTATGTGTTATTTGTATTTTAATTTTTTATTTTCACCAATTCCATTGGTAGTAAGCTTCCGAATGGATCAAAAGGAATTTGCTTTTTCAATTTACAGGAAAAATTATTGTCTCACGTCACATTCCTAGCCCAATTTTTCCGCATGTTATTGTGCGAACAAAGAATTTAGGGAACACCAAAAATGTAAAATCGCTTATACGAAGTTGATTAATTGAAACTAATCTCCAAAACTTTGTATAAACGTGTACATATATTTTGATTGACATAGATAGATGACATCGAGACGAGTATTTTGAAAAACAAGTGGATATCTCGATTTTTGCACACGTTAGCGCGCGTACAAGGATTTTGATGAAAAAACAGAAAAAGGGGAATATCTCGAACACTTTGTATAAACAGGTATAGATGTTTTAATTGATCTCAGTAGAGGACATCAAGAAGAATATTTTGAAAAAAAATAGAATCGTTTGGGAAGCTTTAAAGATATTCAACATAACAGATTTTCAGAAACAGTTGAATATCACCGAAACTACTGGTGGGATTGAACCCATCTACAATACGAACCTTTGTTATCACAGGAGCAAGATTCTCTCCAAATTTCATGTCAATATCTCAATTTTTGCACACGTTAGCGCGGGAACAAGGATTTTCATAGAAAAACAGAAGGGGAAATATCTCAAAAACTTTGTATGGATGGATATATATGTTTTTGTTGATCTAGGTAGAGGACATCGAAACGAATATTTTGAATGAAAAAAAATCTAAATCGGTCCAATAATTTTAAAGATATTCGTGAAAAACCATTTAAAAATGAATCGCTTTATCTCAAAAACTACTTCATGGATCGGGCTGAAATTATGCACAGGGTTACTCCTCATTAAGTCCTATAATATGACAAAATTTAAACTATTTTCAATCATTTTAGCCACTTTATCACTCAATTTTCAAAAAATTAACTATCGGGAAGGTGGCAGTGGACATATTCACATACAGACATGGTCGTAAAAACTTCGTATTTTTACGTTTCAAACCATTCTACATCATTTCCAATAAAAATTAGAGAATGTGAAAAGCGGACGATTACAAAGCTTCCATTCGGAAGCAAAAATGGCAATATCTCGAAAATTTTGTATGAATGAGTATATATATTTTGATTGTTCTAGGTAGAAGCCGTCAAAACGAGTATTTTGAAAAAAGAAAAAATCAAATCCATTGGGTAGTTTGCAAGGTATTTAACAAAATATATTTACACAAAAAGATTGCATATTTCAGTCACCGCTGGGCCGATTGCGCTTATCCAAAATACCAACTTTCATTATTATAAAAGATGGCATTATACCAAATTTCAACTTGCTAGTTCTTTTTTTTCTCAAGTTATGATGCCTACAAACTTTTCATGAAAAACGGTAAAACGGCAATATCTACCAACTGTGTATTAAAGAGTCTATATATTATGACTGATTCGCATAGAGGCCATCGAGACGAGTATTTTAAGGGGTTAGTCGCCTTAAAAGGTTCAAAAAATCGATTTTTTTTCTAACATTTTATTTTTCCCTATTCTTTTAAAAATCTATTACAAAAAGAATTTTCGTGTAATTCACAAAAATACCCGAGATACGGGGGTTTGAAACCGAGCGCGCACAGGTAGGCAAGTGTTCCAGCGTTGCACCACTCAACAATAATAGGATCCCTCCGATGGGGCCAATAAATCCCCGAACTCAAAATCCGCCAAATTTCCCAACTTCCCCAAAATTTGTCTGAGGTAGATTTTCTTGACTAAGGCGTTAGTCTATTTTGAACTCTCAGGCGAAGTGTTGATTGTTAGTGAAATATGGATAGAAAAGGATCCCGTACAAATCGTGTCAATCCATCGAGATGGAAAAAACGATACTATCATGGAAAAAATAGTACTTCAAGCTCAAGTACAAGTTCACCAGAGAGTGCATCAGCAAAAAAAGTTGAGAAAAGGTGATGATTCTGACAATGGAGTCTCCATTTCAAATGTTGATAACTGTTTGATAAATTTCGCCATGGTGTTTACTGCGCTCAGTAATTTTGTAGTTTGTAGGGAGTGTCAGGGAAATATAGAATTTAGAAAAGGGGATCTCATTGGCTTGGGGTTTAAAATTTTGTTAGATTGCAAATGTGGCCAAAGTGCGATTCGATCCTCGCCTTACAGTAACCGAACATATGAAATAAATCGTCGCATGATTCTTGCTTTCCGACTACTGGGCATTGGTTTGAAGGGCTTCAATCTTTTCTGTAGAACAATGGATATGGGGCAGGGTGTGAGCGATAGATTATATTATCGAGGTATGAAGCTCATTTCCGAGGCATGCAAAATAATATACGATAAAGTGACACGCAAAGCAGTTCAAGAAGAACAGGAATTAGCAAAGGAAGATGAAAAAGATGAATTGACGGTATCAGGTGATGGCACTTGGAAGAAACGCCGGTTTCAGTTCTCATTTCGGAGTTTCAACTACTATTGGCAAGTTGAGTGGCAAGGTTTTTGATGTTGAAGTACAATCAAGTTTTTGTCAGGGCTGTAATCTGAATAAAAATAAATTTGACTCCCAAGAAGAACTTGATGACTGGACGGAGGAGCATAAAGAAGAATGTACTCTTACCCACACTGGTAGTGCAGGAAAAATGGAAGCTGATGCAATCATTGACATGTTGAAAAGATCTGAGGAAAAATATAACGTCAAGTATACTACCTATATTGGCGATGGTGATAGTAAAACATTCGCTGGACTCCAAAAAGCAAAGCCATATGGGGAAAGAATTAAAATTAGGAAGAAAGAATGTATAGGTCACATTGAAAAACGAAAGGATAGACGCATACGCAGTCTGAAGAAGATAGTAAAAAATCTTGGGGGGAAAGGAGTTGGAAAACTCACAGCACAAGAGTCAAAAAATCTTACGTTATATTATGGATTAGCGATCAGACGGAATCCAAATTCGGTGGAAAACATGAAAAAAGAAATATGGGTAACTTTTTACCACAAGAGTTCAACTGATGAAAATCCACAACATCACTCATGTCCTCCTGGACCTGATAGTTGGTGTAAATGGCGTGTGGCAGAACTAAATGGAACCCAGGATAATTTCAGGCATAAACCACCGCTTTCCGATGAAGTATTTACAGCTATAAAGCCAATTTATGAAGACTTGAGTGAAGATAAGTTACTAGAAAGATGTTTAGGGGCGAATACACAGAATAATAATGAAAGTTTGACTTCTTTAGTTTCGACTTTTTCTCCGAAGCACATTCATTCGGGGAAAACTGTCGTAGAAATATCGACACATCTTGTAGTCTGTAGGTTCAACGAAGGATTTGGCACTATTTTGCAGATCATGAACCAAATGGGCATTAGGATAGGTCTACAGACCAACACATTCGCTTCTAAGAGGAACCAGGAGAGAATTGAACTTTCGGAAAGGCGCGTGTCTAATGTTGCGAAAATGGCAAGAAAAGCTAGAAGTTCAGAACAATTGAAAAGGGATGAATTCTATGAAGAAGAGGTAGGCGTCTTGTATGGTGCTGGGATTGCAGATTAATAGTGAGTAATTACATATTTTCTTTACACAGCACTCCTGCAACTCAACGCACTCTTTCCCTCAGAGCGGCGAGTTTTCCTCGCCAAACACATCAAAACTTTGGGGGCGCTTTTCTCGAAGCTGCACGTAGGTTCACACGATATTTATCAAAGTTATTGACCAATTGACTTGAATTTTTTAAAAAATTCTTCACTTCATTGATCATCGCTCGAATCAACTTAAACATATAATTTCCTGTTTTTTAAGTTTACTATCAAGCAATAACTGATGAGATGAATCGTGAAAAAATCGAACGCGCTCTCCGTCGATCGATTATTATTATATACGTGAATTTATATCATTGAGCAACATTTCGACGAAGGTCACATGTCTATAGATTATATAAATGTCAAAATTTTTCATTTCAGATCGTTGAGAATATCACAGTCGTGTGAACTATGGCAGGTGCAACGGTAGGACGGTGTTAATTCAAGACCTGATCATATTTATTGTTTTGTTTATTTATCAATATAATATTTTTACTCATGTAGTGTAAACATTAATAAAGATATTGTAAAAAAAGCAAAGTTCTAAATTGATTTCTTCAATGAACAAAAAATTCTGGAAAATCAACTGTTTTTACGTCCGCTAGAGGCGAAAATCCTCTTAAGAAAAAAAATCGAAATTGGTACAGTAGTTTTTGAGGTGTTGACGAAAAACGAAATTTAAACAAGTTGTTAATATATCTCAGGAACTACTGGACCGAACGGGCTCAAACAGCGCACCAAAGTTGAACTCAATAATACCTATAATGGGCGGAAATGATAGATTGTTATGTAAAAATTCCACGGTATTTATGTTGAATGTTCTCAAATTAATCAGTAGTAATACCACGAGTGCTTCAAAATTATCGAATATTTTCCGATAGCTTCGTCGCCTAGGAACGATTGTGTCAAATCTTGCAGATTTAAGATACCGAGTGCGAAGCACGAGGGATTTTTCTGCAAAATTTGACACACTAGTTGCTAGGCAGAGAAGGTTGAGGAAAATATCCGATTAATTTTGAAGCAGGAGTGGTATTTGATGGATTATTTTTCCACTCGGATTTCCGCCAAGCAGAGTGCAGTGAACAGCATCCGGATACATTTACACAGCCATACATTTACAACCCACTTTTTTGTTTATCTGTCACACAGAATATTAAACGTGAAATGCGCTGTAAAATGAGAAACATTTGAAAAGCTAGTAGTGAATTTCCGTCGGAAATTTTTTAGAAATTTCCGAAATAAAACTGTTTGACAGCCTTAAATACTGCACTCTGATTGGCTGAAATCCGAGTCAGAAAAATAATCACCAAAAAACCATTTTATCGGATACATACATATAGGCATGACCCTAAAAACATCATTTCTTCACGTTTCATAACATTCTGAACGATTTGCAATCAAAATGAGAGAATCGAAAAATCACTCAAAAACAAGGCTTTTATTCGGAAGCAAATATAAGGGTCTCGACTCTCGAATTGTTTTCCCCATATAAAGCTTTCGCCTTGTATATGAACCCCCCATACGTACAACCCTTCGTATTCAAGTGATTCCATGTGCAAAACCCCCTTACATCTAAGCCCATATATGATCCCCTCATACATGAGACCACCAATAAATAAAAGTGTCGATAGAAACCTCCTCTCTAGTGATGCCATCGAGACTAGTCGAGAATTATTTTGAAGAGATCATCACGGTGTGGAAAAACATCGAAAGTTTTGGAATCGTCGCAATCTCGAAAGACATTGGATCGGTGCATCTCGTCACAATTCCGGGAGGATTTATCTTGCCTGGATCTCGAGATTTTCGGTTTTTCAAGTTCACGAGACGAAACGAGACAGATATGGAGACAAACATTTGAAAAACAGAAAATAATAAAACTCAGACGTGATGGATTCTTGCAAGTTCAGGGCGAGATGCACCAATCGAATGTCTTTCGAGATTCTGATATTTCCTAAACTTTCGATGTTTTTTTAGACTGTGATGATGTGTCCAAAATAATTATCGTCTAGTCTCGACGGTGTCACTATTCCTCTCCCTCTTGATAGAACCCTTCATAAAAAATCTCTACATATGAAATCCTTCATATTTGGCCACTCCTCGCCATGTATAGGGCACTTACATCCATGAAATAGGTCGGCCACGATTTTTGAGTTCAATCTAATAATTTCTAAAATGGGAAAAAATTCAGCATTGGTTTAGAAAATATTTGTTCTTGAAAACCCTCCATAAAATCGTTAGTTTTTATTGATCCACTAAGGATAAAGGATAAGAGGAGTTTCTAGAATCTAGAAACTTCTTCCTGAAGTTAATTCACTACTTCTTTCTGTGCGTCATAATGAGTTAATGATTCGTCTCCCTCATTTTCTATTGTGGGGCATCAGCAGAAAGATGAATTTAATGCGATGTGCTGCTGGAGCCCCGTAATATCATTCACATGAAATAATGTAGACAATGCTAACATGTTTATGATTTGATTCTTTGTCGATGATAATTTGATAAGTGATTCTTCGTTGCATACCACGGTTATGGTGCTAATATTTATTAATGTAGCATTAAGCGCAATGAATAAATGCAAAAATAAGAATAAGATTCAATTTGAGCAATTGATAATAAATATTAACATATCTCTCATTCCCTGAAAAGCATATAATATTATATTTTTTTTATTTGGAATGTCCAGGTGGAAGGTCATGACTATAAAACTATTCTCGAGAGGGTCCACGCGTGACACTCAGGTCTGTTTTTGTCTTCCTCTTCATTCATCTCTCATTATTATTTTCTTTTTTAACGAGTCACCTTTCTGTTGCCCCCTGACACCCACGTCGTTTCCGGTCGGATCCACCTCTTTTTCCTCTCTCTTCACAATCATCCAAAAAGGAATGACGAAGATGATGATACGAAGATTCAGAGAAGTATCATCGTAAGAGAAATAATAAGAAATATTCAAGAAAAAAAAGATTTTTTTTAGGACCACAGGGTCCGTTTTTTGATGCGCCTCGCCGGTCACTGATAATTGCCCAGTGCTCTCCAACTGTTATTATTAAGCCGATATTTTACCAAGGGGACACACGTTTGCGCATATAATTTGTGAAAGCCCTCTAATTATGGGTTAGTGGCACATACATGCGCAGAGACAGTATATAAAGAGACTTGCGGTGATACGAGGGATGGTACGTTGATATTGGAAGAGAGGATTGGTAGAGAAAAAGGAAAGAAAAGATAAGAGAACGTGGAGTGATGAACGAGGAGTGGGGAAAGAGGATAGAGAGAATGGGCGAGGCACTTGGAGGCCTCACTCGATTCGCCTACGCGTCAAACTGTGGTTCCATTCCTTCGTACTTTATTATTAGCAAGGGCTGTTTTTATTTTCTTTTCACAATTTTCTCCTCCTCTTGTACGGTCTCCATCCAACACTCGAGGGCTCCCCTCCTTCATTCTGGTGCTCCGTAGAGACTAGCCCTCTCTCGCACGAATCCTTCTTCTGGCACACGTGGAGAAAAATTGTAAGTGAGGCTAAATAATAATAATAATGTCTAGAAGATGAAATACATTGGATCGAGATACGCGATAGCATATCGGCCAAGAAAAGTTTTGACCGACTGATCAAAACATCAGGCCGAGCGCACCGCGTATCTATACACAACAGAACTTCCCCCTCCACTACTTCTAAATGATTTACATTCGGTATAATGAAAACTGGACGATAAATCGGGAAAGTATCGTTAGTTATATAAATCGCCTATGAGATTTTCAACGGAGTAACTATGGTATTTTTTGGATTAACGGTANTCGCCTATGAGCTTTTCAACGGAGTAACTATGCTATTTTTTTGATTAACAGTAAAAAAGATACGAGCATAGCAACGGGTTGATATTTACATTCTCGCGATTCACATTATAAAGTCGAAGAATCAAGTTTTGTAACGTTGGCAGCGCCGGTCCAACTGAGCCTCATATCCAACGTTGAAGTGTTGCCACCAGTGCATTTGAATGTGGGTTGTGATGTTGTTATGGAGAACGACGGGAAATTTTCTTCTTCACGTTAAATCACTTATTAGAATCGAATGGAAAATCGACTCGATGTTCTATTTTGTTTTCTTTTGTTTTTGAAAATTCGAATTTCATCCCGCCCTATCCATATTCATATGCGGACCTCGGACATAAAGGTAGTTTATGCACTGTTTGTGAGGTTGTCGGTTTATGTTTGGAATGTGACAAAAGTGAGATGTATCGAAAATATTGTGTCATAAACTATTAAATGTCCATGAATAGTTAAAGTCGAAAAGAAAATATTTATTTTTCTCCAAGTGTAACAGAAAATGTTTTCATTCCGTGGAAAAAAATTCTCTAAATTAAGTGACAGTGAAATGCGAACAATTTTGTGATTATTTAGGAAAAATTAGTAGGAGACGGTGGGATTAAATGGACACTTTGAACCCTTTTCAAAATGTTGATGTCTTATTTAAGTGTTGATGAAATAGATTTTTTTTTTAAATTAAAGTACAGTCAGCCCCTTTGTAATGAGCTTAGACTGAGCTCAATCGATAAATTTGTTCCTTGGTTATAAATATTGAAACAAGAAGTCAGAAGAGTCCATTTCACCCAATGTTTCCCTAATATTTTTAAAAACAAAGAAAACAAAAACAGATGTTTTCAAAAAGAATTCTTTGTAAACATTTTGTTCGACTATTCCTATAAGGAAATCAATTCATCTCTCCAAGAAATACAATCCACATAGGAATCATCAGAGCAAAAATTGAATGAGAAACTGAATCAAGTCAGAAAATGATTAATAGATGATTAAAAATTGAAATTCGGTGGAAACAATAAATCTGGAGTAGAACTGTTTAGTTCCCTTCAATTTTCGATTTAAAAAATGTTCTATCTTATGAAAAATTAATGANTTTTTTCAACCCCCCCCCCCCCCGAATACATCGCGAGGGAACCACGGGTTCTCAACGACAATCGTAGATCCAACGATTCGTCGGGGTTGGCCACAGGTACTATTATAATAAAACACAAAAACAAATGTTTTTGTAAAAAAACTGGGCCAAGAAAAAATTTTGTTTGATTCCTACTGGGAAGTCGAAATTTTTGAAAAATACATAGAAATAAAAGAGGAAGCCAAGTCAGGAATTTTGAATAATTGGTGATAGTGCACAATCAGGTTTCCATAACGTTCTTGGTGGGGAGTTTTTCAACTCACTGTCTGTATCAATCTAATCCTCCATCCTTTGATCCGCGCCAAGGACGTTGGTCCTGCTCCTACTGATTTTTTATTTCATGGAGAATTTTTTTAGAATACTTATTCCATTGAGAACTATTTTTCTAATAGAAACCTGATTGTACACTAACACAATTTATTCAAAATTCCTGACTTGGCTTCCTTTTTTATTTCTATGTATTTTTCAAAAATTTCGACTTCCCAGTAGGAATCAAACAAAATTTTTTCTTGGCCCAGTTTTTTTACAAAAACATTTGTTTTTGTGTTTTGGGGGGGGGGGCGTTCGAAAAAATAAAATTATGGGGAAAGTCTTTATCATGTCTATCGTTCCAAAGTGAGTTAAGAAATGATTGAATGATCAAAACAGATTTTACATTTTCCATTCAATAAAAAAATCATCTGATCTCGAGGAAAACCTATTCAAAAGTTTTTTTTTACTTCTGAGTAGTTGAGAGATTATGGTGAGAATGTAACTGAGATAGGGTGATAATGAAATTAAGAATACGAGTAGGTTCCATTATAATCACTATTGAAGAGTTTCCTGGAGTGAAGATGCCCCTTGCAATCGCGGCAGTCCATTTAAAGCTCTATCTGACACGAATATCAATGTTTGATTCTTTTTCTCCTCTTTCATTTCTCAACTGCACTCTATATTATCTTTGACGATTATAAATGATAGTCTCTGTGGTGTTTGTCCATAGGCATCTGACACAGTAGCAGGGTCCAAGCGGTGAGAGGTCCAATGGTGAAAAGTTCGGACCTTTCACTTGGAGTTTGATTGACGTGAGCATAATGACAATATTCCACTGAGTGGTTGTATCCTAAATGATGGTTGAACCTTGCCGTAAATTACGTACGCTCCAGGTTTTCAACGAGTTTTCTCTCATTTATCGTTAAAAATCACGCGGCGATCGTTTCACTCTCGAAAACGGTGAAATAATGCTGCGAAGATAAAAATGTTGGGATCGATGATTACTAAAAGTCTAAGCGCAAAAAGAGAATTATTTTTGTCATTGTTTTCCCTATTTTACTCCTGACGAAAAATGAGAGTAATTAAGGGCCATCGATAGGTATTCCTACAAAGTGGGATTGATTTCACAGAGTTCCACAAAAATTTAACCCGAAAAGAGTATTTATTAGTTCTTATGAGATAAAAATGGCCAGAATTCTATAAATGGTTTTAAGAAACACAGGATTATATATTTTTTGTTTTGATTGCATAACAAGTGAATGTGATTGCAACTTCGCAGCGTGAGATTAACAGACACCTGCGGGCGGATCAAGTCCGAGTCTGCGATAACACCACATTGCACCTGAAACGAGAATACGTGCGACTAAAATGTGCGTGGGGTTTGCCATATGTCGTTCTCTCTTTAACACCTGAAATACCATTCAAAGTACATGTCTATATGGACCACAACTTGATCAAAGAGTGGTGGCCCTCTTAAATCAGGAAACGTTGTTAGAAACACTGACAGATCGTGAATAACACTTTCACTTCAATCCGGCCAATGCTAGTCTCATTCGATTTAATGAGTTATGTTATTTCAAAAACATAATGAAAATAAATAAAAAATCATTCGACCATTCTAGTGAGGCGTCCAGGGCAATTGATAAAACTTGCACGTGGGTGTTGACCATAAAATCTATACGAGACGAAACTGTGTGAAATCAATTACGTTGCACTCATGGGTAATAGATCCAGGCGTGGTACTGACTAATAGAATCATGGTTTCCAAAGGAAAAATCACGGCTCAATATCATACCATCACTTGGGCTATTCTAAAGTTTTTAAATCTTTATTGCTGTTTCATCCTTTCCTTTTAATCGTCAAGTATTTCTCAGACATCCTCGCTCTAACTCATCATCCAAGTGTCTGAACAAAGTCTACGGGCGTTGGGTATACGGCTGAGTCCTACAACCGTACGGTCCATCAGAGAAAGGCAGAAAAGCATGGCTGCAGGGGCGAGGAGTCGAGTGAGGAAAAAAAGTAACCGAAGCGAAAAATTGACCAAGAAGATCGCCTTCGAAACTTCAATATACTGACGGTATGTTTGTTTTCTGGTGGGCGGGTCCCAGGGGCCAAGAGCGCACGCGCGGGATTCTCCGGGCCCAAGCTGCAAGTCACGAGCCAACAATACTACAAATAATAACAAACCAGAGGCCTGTGATGTTCGAAGATGAAAAAAAAAACGGCTGAAAAACAGAGAGGCATCTTCTTAACCGGCTTGTGGCTACTAGGCTACCCCCTGGTTAAGCTTTAACCACACTAAATGTCTTATTTGAATCATCAAATTCAATTGGAAAAAAATTATCCAATCTATTTCTCACTATGAACAGACCGAATAAATATACTGTCTGAATATATTTGGTTCAATTATTCCATAGAAAATCAGCTGAATCAATTTCTTCTCGTGGAAGTTTCTAGACCACTGGCTTGAGTATGTTGTATAGAAATAAGGAGTCACTGTGAACGATCCTTAAATCGAAATAGCCAGCATGCGTTGATCTTCCCCGAGCGTATTGCATTCCCATGGTGGCTACTACCGCGGTCCCCGTTGGCCACAGCACCGTGAGTACAGACTGTGGCTACTGCCGTCATTGCCAGAGCCTGCACAACGGCCCACCCACCACGCACGATCTCCACCGGGAGCGCTTTGCTACTGGTATTGAATCCGGCGTATTGTTTTTGCCCCGGTCATGAGCGCAGAAAGATTATTTGTATCTTCAGTGAACCACAACTTCTCTTTCATTTTTTTCTGGAAGAGGTAGCGTATTCCACTTGATATGAAATAAAAAGTAGAACAGAATAATGTGGATATTAATTCACGACAAAAATAAACTATGTGAGAAAAGGTAGACTATGATGAGCCGGTACAGATGAACATGAACGAGAACTAAATGAAATAAAATAAATGGACAAAGGGTAAGAAATATAGGGAGTCAGAAACAGAGGAGGAAGGTGAAAAAGTGTAAGTGTACTCCTGTATGGTCGTAATGGTACCTAATACGGCAACTTATACATATATATATATATATATATATATATATATATATATATATATATATATAAAAGTTGCTTCGGTAAAGAAGGACGTATAGTTTATAGTGATTACATGGGGTCAGGTCCTGGCAATAAACCATGGTGGACACAGCGGTCCAGCACAAACTCATCTTGCTCAACTAATACAAGCGCAGTCCCAGGTATATTCTCAGTAACACCGAATTTCCCACCACTGGCAAATGATCGGGATCTCAATGTTGCGCTTACGCTCTCTCCACTGAACTCCCCATAGGCCAGTTTAACAAAGGCAAAAAAGGCAGTAACACTCTTAGGCCAAGAACAAAAAGCAGACGCAAAGTACTCGATGCTAGATGACTCCGCACATGTGGGTACAAAACCGAGACGTGAAAAGGAGTGGAGGGAAGGAGTATCAAGTGCATGAGGATGATGGGAGATGGGAAGAGTGAGTCCGTTGGCCACAACACCAGGAGCCATCCTACTGGAATTTAAATAATAATTATAGTGTTTAGTATCATGCGAGGGAGAATATGGGTGAGTTCCATCGCTCCTTTGGCTCTTTCCCGCGTCATATTCGTAAGGGAAGATATTACTATCGAGGCATCAACAATCTCTCACCTCTACCCGTTGTACAGCAGACCATCTTCTCTTCCAGTAGCCACTTCAGATAATAGTATGGTTCATATACTACCTTTTTCTTGGGGTCTGGGATCACATCAGAATCTTTATCGAATTACCAACGACTGAATGATGATCGTATTTCTCCCAGCTGTTTGGTTATCGATTTTTTCGGTAGATTCTTATTGTAAACTAATATCGAGAATCATGCTGGGTCCCCTCTTACCTACTCCAAAATACTATCCAACAATATTCTGTGACGTCATAAGATGTAGAATGCTATATCAGTAGTGAAGTGGTAAAACGACTTAAGTCGACTCATCTTCCAGTTGAATTTTTGAGGAATAGACGGAGAGAAATTTTTTTGAAAAATTCCAGTGCTAGCACGGGAAAAGAGGCGCTAAGTAACGGCCAGGAAAAAATTCGAGTGCCGGCACTAGAAATTTTATTGGAGAAAACGTGAATTTTTCCCTGTATTTCGGTGAAAATTTCACAGAAATCCCCAGAAATTTTACCAGAAATACCAAGAAATTTTACCTTAACAGGACTAGAATTTTTCACAGTCGGCGAATTGTAATTTTTTCCAGTACTCGTACTAAAATTTTCTTGAAAATTTCTCTCCGTGTATTTTCGAATCTAAGGGAGATAGCGAAATTTTCGTAATTACATTTGTTATAGCACTAAATCGCCTCTACAAAAAAGATTTCAACAATAATTTTGCTACCTCCCTTGAATTCCGAGATATTCTTTGAAAACTGGTCAATACTCAAAATTGACTTGTACCGTTTTCCCACTTCGGTACTAATAAAAACTCCGGTCTTTTGGGGGTTTATATACCCGCGTCCCCCTTCGCCGTCTCACCCGTCAACTTTCCTCTCAAATATAGCTCGCATATTTCTTGGATATTGTATATTTTGCCGTAGACATAACGAACATATTTGAAATATATCTGCGGATATATTTTTTTCTCATGAGGGACATTTTTCTATGTTTCATGACATTTTGAGTCATTCCCATAAAAAATAACACTAAAAAAATTACGTTGACAAAACTTACATTCAAAAGTAAAAATCATAAAACTAATTTACATTCGAGTTATTTTATCATCTAGATAGAAGGGATGAAACATACTCAGTAAGGGTTGACCCACATTCTTTATTTGTTTTTCATCAATGACTTGGAGTGAAAGATTTCCTCCCGAAACCATTTCAACAAAATGCATGAACAAACTAATAATGGCAATAAAAATCGAGAGGCCATTCACAGGCGTAATCGTGGTGTCACTCGCTAATGTAATCAATTCTAATCCCAGTGAAATCAATTTAATCATTGTAATCACTGTAATTATTTGTAATCAGTGAAATCTTCTGTAGTTGCTCCTGGTGAGACCGTGAATTTTTTTTTTAATTTTCGAGCGCGGCATTTCTACCAACGGTAAGTCTCAGAGATCCCTGGATCAATTTTTCTTGAAATCCCAGATGTTTAAGGTTCAGAACCTTGCATAGCCAATGCGTTTTGCAAAAAGCATTTGTCCGTAGAAAATTGATTCAAAACAGTTGAAATTTCTTCTTATTCTGGAGAACCAATGCCTGAATTATCTCTGAATTATTTGCTGATAAGTTTCATTCTCAAACAATGGTAGATATTCAGTAAATTGATTTTGCTGATAGCACTTATAAATGCCCAAATTTTTGGATGGAGTGATGGAGACTGCATTCTTCTGCTCTAATCCCCGCCCCTCTTTCTTCATTTCTTTGCAGGTTCTAATAATTAATTATTCCATGAATTCATATTTAACGATGTTCAGGTAAAAAAATGCAGCCAATGTTTCGAAATTTTTTAAGTACATTCTTTGATATATCTCGATGCTGTGCGTAGAGTTTCAGATTGCTGAGGTTAATGGTTCAAATGGAATAAATTATTTTAAAAAACGCAATTTAACTCGTGTTCTTATGGGGAATGTGGAAAAATGCATAGACTGAATGTAAAAATGCAGCCAATGTCACGAAACTTCGTCCACGTGCAACATTTTAATGAATACATTTTCTGCAAAAGAAAACATCGGTTGGATTCGTTTTTTAGCCAAAATTGACAAAAAAACACTAAAAATCCGAATTTTTACGTGCGCAGCTGTGAGTTGCGACAACGTAGCACGTGCCGATTGTGTGGGGGTAAACGCGATAAATGCAAAGATGAATAAAGGATCGTTGTGGACATCATGATATCCGAAGATAATTTTCCCGATAATAGATATCAATGAAATTCATGAAATTTTTGCTCTTTAACAGACTTTCCCTTGAGAGAAACCATTATTTCTGCAGTAATCTCTGTTTGAGATTAAGCCGAATACAGAGACACCACTTGATACTGTCACTCATGTAAAAATCATTTGTGAGTCCTCACTTCACACAGAAATCCTGGAATTCATTCACTATTATTTTGCTCTTCGATAGTAAATTATAACGACGTGGGTGATGAATTTTTTGGATAACCGTATATCAATGGCAAAAATTGATATGTGTTTATGCATGTGACTACGTACAGCGAGAACCCTCCATAGAGTATGGCAGGCCGACCAACTCTGAGAAAAAACAACTGGCGTTGGGCCGACGTTGCCACATTTTTTACACAAATTAATTATTTTCCATTTATTATTAAAACTGCGTATAAAATTTTTTTGACGCATGTAGGATGTAGGAAAAAAATTAAATAGTTATAAAAAATATTATATGACTACAGAAGAATGTGAATATGGTCGTATTATTCAATTAAAGGGAACCGCATTTTCGTGTTCAGGAATTGGTTTTCTGCAGGAATACAATCGATTCCCTTCCGCCACACCTCCTACATTCCGTCGTCGCCTAGACATCGTTAATAAAAGGCTATTCTTTGTGATTTCAATGATTACAGATTTTTGGTAATCACAGAATGTAATCGTCGAAATCATTTGTAATCATGAAATCACATTTTGTGCTCTTGGCAATCTCGGTTATCACATAGGCAATGGTAATCAGTGTAATCAGTCCGGCAATCCTGGGTAATCGATTACATTTTGTAATCGCGGTGTCACCCAATTCGCCTGTGAATAGCCCCTCGATAAAAATTTAAAATGATCATGTAACCGTTTAAACATTACATTCATCCCTATCCACGCACATGAAGATTTCACTCCCGGATTTATGGCGCATTAATCATTTGTCTTCCATAAACGTCTAAATTTTCCTAAGAGGAAATCATGATATGATTTAAAATGAATATCCTCCCCCGAACAGGCGTGCGATCCCACAGGAATTCAGGAAGCCACCACATCACACTGGTCACTGTAGCTTGAGTACAGCAGTGAAACTCATCACCAGACTGACAGCCCCGTCTATTATCGCTCCACGTGCAGTTTAATAGTTTAGCCATTTTTATTTGAGCTCAACAGGGCCTGCCTCTTTCGCACCCAGAAGGTGAGATTCTATTGCCCCACGGCCGCAATGCCTGTATGTGATGTTACGGCCTTGCTTTACGAATGTATTAATAAAATTTATTAGCCAGCGTAAGTGTGCGGACGTACGCGTTAATGGATTTTGAACCAGCGTAGCGCAATAGC